AATTGTCCATTTCTGTGAACAATCCGAGCGTCAATTAGAGAGACATTGCTGTAATCTGTTTTCCGCATAGAAAATAATATTTCTACGAGCTCGATGGAAGATGCCTGGAACAAAAGTCACAGCGAGAATTCCAAAGAAACCGACGGAGCAAGTTATTTGCAACGTATTCGGGATTGTTTGGCTGCTTATCAAGAGTCCAACGGCGTTCCGAACACGGAATATTCATTCGCGACGCTTATCAAAGCATTGGGTCAAGCCACTAGTCAGTCCCTCCTCGCTCTCTTATACGTGATATTGAACATTATACCCGTCGCACAGGTATTGGTAAATAATTATCGATTGATCCATAACTCGCTATAGACCGTACAATTTTTTTAGGTATTCCTTTTCGTGCTACGATTCATTTTGGACAAAATGATCAGCATAAGGGACAGCAAAGACTTTCGGCAGATGATGATCCGAAGCTTCGTATTCTTGACGGAACTGTTCAGCGTGTACATCTGTCTATTTTTTATATTCGGATTTATCATTTTACCAATCGTGCAGGTGGTAATTGGCATAATTGTAGAGATCATGCTCTACTATTAATTTCAATTGCGCCACCGCCGAGTTAAATTCCGAGCGGTCATTGTTACGTGGAATCGGTGCAATCGTGAACTGTTGTAGAGGTATAGGAATTATTATTCGATTTTTATAGCGTTTTTTGGAGTTTTGTACGTTTTTCTTTTTTTGTGATATTTATATATATTTATATAATATATATATAATATTATATATTATATTTGTGATATCGTTTATTTTATAGCCGGTTTGTATTAGAGAAAGGATTGTAAATAACAACGAAAGGTTTTCTCGTGTATTTGGTGCAGTTTTATTAAAAAAATGCCGACGTCGCGTTACTTGCAAGTGAATACTCTTCTCTTTTCTTTTTCTTTTTTTTGTATAGGGATGGCGACATCACTCGCAAAATGTGTATCGTGAAACTGCGAGTCTTTTCGATTTTAGCCACGATACTTGCGAACTCATTCGAATAAATAACAATCTGGATGCGTCCAGTCGATCGAACGAAAAACATTGAGGCACATTGTTCAATTAAGATCTCGCGATCGAAGCAGAAAGGTAGACATCTTGTTGCAAGAAACAGGCGAGCAGACGTGGAGAATTGTATAAAAATCTTGTTTACCTCTAACTCGCGGGGAACTGTAATTCTAATGAAATTCGATCTCGCACCGTCGCGCGAATTAATCGAGTATCCCCGGCAACTTCCATCGCATCTCGCCGGTTTGATCGGTTTTCTTGCGAAAAGTTCGAAGTGGGTGCCGTTCGATTCGCGAGCTCTTAGTTGTACGATGCGATGGCACGAAGAAACGAAATAGAGAAAAATTAGTACGTCGCTGGGGGTGTTTCGTTTTATACAATGATCGTGAAGAGGAAGTCGTCTAGTTCCTACGAATAGGGTGAAACCTCAATTCCTGTTGATCGCGACGATTTACACTTTGTACGAGTATCCGAACATTAATCTGACAGTATCGGTGATTCGAAGCGTGCTGTTCAATGCGAAGTGACGAGGGGGTGTGCAAGAACTTTTGTTTCCTCGGGATCGCAGCGGACCAAAATGCAAACGAGAACGCTTTCGCGGCACTACGGATCGTGTCCACAAATGTAGTTACGTCCGCGAGGCTAACAATAAATAAAGTAACCGCGAACAGATAAATAAATAAAAATAAATAACACTGACGCGCAACACATCGAAGCTATTACAATTACAATTATTTATAAATAAATAAATAAATTCTACTCCTGCACATAAATACCGCTACAGTTTATTCAGAAAATATGAATAAAGTATATGTATGTATACTGCACACAGTGTGGCCTTAGATTCTTACGTATATGTGATCGCTATCGGTTACCTGAACTCTTTTATTCGTGAACTACGACAACAGTGTTTGTTTCATTGTGAATATATTTTCTTTGGTGACATTGGTGCACTTAGCCTCGCTATATTTTGATATTGATAAGGTGATAATCAACTTAAATTTAGTACGCAGCGTTAGATAGTATAATAGTAGTATAATATATATATAGTATAATATAATATAATAAATAATAATATAATTATATAGTATAATAATACACTATATATATAATATACTACTATACTACTATAGATATACTATATACTATACTATATACTAAAATATAATAATATAGTATAATATATCTTTTTGCTGCACGTATGGAAAAGAGAAACAGAATTTAAAACATACTCGTTTGTAAAACCTCGTGATTCACTTGCAAACAAATAGTATCGAACGAAATACAAAAAATGAACTGCTTTAAAGACTATGCAATTGTGACGAGTAGATGTTTTCCTTAGAGTGAAACACCCTCTATAACGATAGTTTTTCATTCTAGTGTGAAGAATAGTACTAGAATCGGATTTTCTATATATATATATGTATGAGCCATTTATTTTGAAAGTGGCTTAAGTCACTTTACCGTAACGAAAAGTGG